TAGCCCAGTGCTTGCCACATACATGTGCTCAACACAAAGTACAATAAATTCAGTTCCAAACAGGGATGCCATCTACCCCAATAAAACTTCTTGAGTTTTAACTGACTCCCACAAACAAAATGCACGCCTTCACAAGTACCCACAGGCAAATCATTCAGTGCAAGATTCTCAAGTGGTCCTGCATGTAGCAAGGATACAAATAATGTGACTCACCTATTTGGCTTCAAAAGACCTGCTCGTTTCACTTTCAAATCATGCAGATTGAGTTCTACTGGGAGTATTGAAAGGAATCTCTTCATGGTCACTCCCATTCCAAAACCTATCATATACATTTACTGACTTTTCTTTATGACTCTAATTACTAGCTGAAAATTCTTGTTTATTGCTATATTTACCAAAGTATTGTCTGTCTCTTCCCAGTTGTATTTCATCTCTGTGACAGCAGAGATTTTATTTGTTGTTCTTTTCCAGTGAGCTCCCAGTGTGTAGAATAGTGCTTGGTACATGATGTATGCTCAATAAATATTGCAGGAATAAGTTGAAGAGAAGGATAACATCTTGCAGGAAATCTTTGAGAGGAGCTAGTTTCTAGGAAAGTCATACCATCTGAATACTTCAATTTTCTAGTTGCTTCTACCTAAAAGGTATTTGTCCTCACTCATGATAGTGATATAGCTATATCTCTGAGGACATGAGATCTTGTCCAACCTCAACTTTTTCCTTGCTCTGGCTTTGTAGTCTGTTCTCAGGATTTTTACAATGGCAACAGCTTATGAAATCACCCAGTATATTTGTTTTTGTTTTTGTTTCTGATGACTCAACCTCCCTTGTGTACATGAGAGTTACACCATGGAGTAGAATGTTATTCCTTCAATAATAAAAGCTATATTGGAAATACATGTTAGATGAATGTTTAGACAAACATTTCTATAAACATATGACAATACTTTAGATGGCATGTATGTATCAATAAGCATATTATTTGTTATGATTTAATGGGTGGGGAAAATTCCCATTTATATCTTTTCTTTCAAAACTAATTTTTGTCAGAAAATGTCAGTGTTAGCTTTTCACCTGTTGTCTTAGCTTGGGGTGCTTTAATAAAATACCATAGTAGGGGTAGTTTAAATAATAGACATTTTTATCTCATAGTTCTGAAGGCTGGAAAGTCCAAGATCAAGGTGCTATCTCATTTGGTTCTTGTAATAACCCTCTTTCTGGCTTATAGATGACTCACCTTCTGTCTTCATATTCAGTAGAGAGAGCAAATTCTGGCCTCTCTTCCTCTCCTTATAAGGAAACTAATACCATCATGGGGGTTTCACTCTCATGACCTCATCAAAACCTAATAATCTTCCAAAAGCTCCCCTTCTACATATGATCACATTGGGGATTAAGTTGTCAGGATAGAAATTTTAGAGAACCTTAGGCATTCAATTCTTAACCACTATGAAGTATGACCTTTACACTGTCAGAATAATTTATACCTTTTGTGTAGTTTCCATGGAATTTCCAAAATTATTCTTTTCACTATTTGCATACACAATAGTCTTTAAGAACCCAGAGTAGTTGGGGAATGAAGCTTATAATCAACATCATTTATGGTTAATTGGGACAATGCTCTTATAAAGTGAAACCACTCTAGGATGAGACCATCCCAGCAAAGTAAACTCTCCTCCTTTCTTTCATAGGATCAAAAAGAGTGCTAAGCAATCTTAGTCATCAGTTGTGGATGTTCAGACCCATAACCCTGTACCAACCTCAAAATTCTACCATTAGCTCTAATGTCAGCTTAAAGATGCTCATGAAGAAAAACCGTCTATGCTCTCCTGAGCAACTATTACGATGTGATGTGGATAATATAAATCAAGGCTTTAAAGGAGTTCAAAAAACAACAAAGAGCCCTTTCTCTCTGTCTAGAGGGCAGGGCACCAACAGTAGGGAGCCCTGCCTAGAAATGGTTCCAAGGAGGCCTCCTGGAAGCCAGGATCCATGAGAAGAGAGAGTTAGAATTTAATGAGAAAGCTGCCTGCAGTGTGACAGTATATACAGCAGGTTATACATATAAGTAAATATACTAAAGATGAGCTATGGTGGTTTCTTTCATAGCTGCAAAGGAAGCAGTAAATATGGAGAGGGGGAAAGCAGAAAACAGAATAAACCCTGTGTTCTTGGACTGTTACTGGGAGTATGAGTGTAAACTCAAGTTTTTAGATAGATATAAAAATAAAGAGCTTGGTCTCTAAACACTATGTTGTGGAACACAAAGGAACAAGAATCCTGGTAGATATGGCTAATGAAATAGAATTTTAAATTTCTAATAAAATAAAGAACCACATGCTAAATATGACAAAGAGAAATTGTTCACACTCATGAAACATATCCCTTAGGAAGATGCACAAACTTATATGCATCTTATAACAGCCCTGAAATAACAAACTAGAACCTTTTAAAGAGATAAGTAGCACTAAATGAAACCACAGTCATGGTACGTCTATTGTTAACAGCATTCAGAATCATGATGACAAGAACACCAGGTACAATTGATTGGAGCCTGATTAGGTTCCAGGTATCATGATGGAACTTCATTTTTTAACAATCATTTCAGACAATAGGCCACAATTGGCCTAAGGGCTAAAGTTTACCAAGCCCTATTCAAGGTCATTGTCATATTTCCTTTTTTACATTTCATGAATCTCTCAATGAGCTGAGAAACATCTAGTATCAGTACATCTGCAACCCTTTGGGCTTTAGATGCCTATTGGAAGCTCTACAGAAGGACACTAGAACTGCAGAAACCCATGGCGGCAGGTCTTTTTATTTTCATACCATTTCTGTCCCTCCTATAGAAAACACATTTCTGACAGAGCCCACTACTTCCTGATCACTGAATCCTTGTGCCAAGATTGTAATACATTTAAGGAGAGAGATGTGATAATCTGATGAGGGTGAGATGGTAAATAATACTCTTCTAAATTGTGGCAAAGAGACCTGGAGTTGACATATCCCTGGGGCAAAATATTCAAAGTGTACCACTCCCTGCCGGACCTGCCCTATGAAATCAAAGACATTCTGTGGTTTGCCATTTGAAAGGAATGAAGGAAATATATTCACCCCACAACTGTATCATCCCATGTGATTATGTGATTTACTCAGTCCAGTGAAGATGCTGGTCAAGCAGTGGGTATGATTCCATCACCACCTGATTAAGCTTCCCATAATCCTCTGTTACTCTCAAAGAACATTCTTTCACATCAACCAAACTAGGGAATTAAATGGGGAAGTGGTAGAATCCATGGCCCAGGCATCTCTCAAGTCCAGTGGTGGCTTCAGTTCCCACAAGGTGTGGGGCTACTGTTGAATGATGACTTTCACAAGGACCTAGAGCTGTCACACCTCTGACTTGCCCCTTTCTATGCTAAGAGCTACTGCTGCATGGGTCAGGAAGTCATGGGGCAGGGGATGAACAAAATGCAAGTTCCTATTAGGGCCCCAAATTTTGTCTTTTCAAGGTTATAACTTCACTGCCTAGGACAGTGCCTGGCATAAAAAAGGGTTCAGTGAGAATTTCTGGAGTGAACCAGTGAGTGAAATCCTAAACTCTACAGCAGTGATTCTCACCTGGTGTGCCAGTGTGCTGCAAGAGGATTTTAATTTTTAAAGATCATTATTTTTGAAAGTTCAAAGCACAGTAAGTATATATTTTTTTTTGCTCGTTTTTATAATTTATGTGTGCCATGGAAGTTTAACTATAGGTTCAAATGTGCTATGAAACAAAAAAGGTTAAAAAACACTGTCCTACAGGATGCTCGCTCCTCCTGTGTTGCTATAAAGTAGGAAATTAGTCACTGGATGATTGCGAGCTTTCACTGGACCTATAAAGCAAACTGAGGACTCAACCCTATTTATTACAGTAATGGGAGTTATGGTAAATTTATGAATCCCGGGACTGGGGGTGAACTCACAACCACTTTCCAGTGATTCCCAAAGATCTGAATATATCCCTTCCCCTAGGTCTGTGGTTCCTAACCCCTGGACCACAGACGGGTACTGGTCTGTGGTACATTAGGAACTGGGCCACACAGTAGGAAGTGAGTGATGGGTAAGTGAGCAAAATGTCATCTGTATTTACAGCTGCCCCCTGTTGCTTACATCACCACCTGAACTCTGTCTCCTGTCACATCAGCGGTGGCATTAATTCTAAGAGGAGCTCAAACTCTACTGCAAACTACACTTGTGAGGGATCTAGGTTGTGTGATCCTTCTGAGAATCTAATGCAGCAGTTCTCAACCTGTGGGTCACACCCCGTTTTTTTAATAATGAAAATACATCACATTAGGAAGGTTGAGAACCACTGTGCCTGGTGATGTGAGATGGAGCTGAGGTGGTGATGCTAGCACTGGGGAGCGGCTGCAAATACAGATTATCATTAGCGGAGAGGTTTGACTGCATACAGACCAAAATAAATCAATTGCTCACAAATTCATATCAAAACCACTCCCCCACCCTGTCCGGTGAAAAAAATTGCCTTCCCTGACACTGGTCCCTGGTGCCGAAAATGTTGGGGACTGCTACCTTAGGTCAGTTATTTGGTTAAATACTCTGTTAGAGCAAAGCCAGAAGTTTCATGGCTACACTCCTGAAATTTTAGTACCATCTGTCCCACTGGATAAGCAGCTTCTCCTTCCTTTGAGGGGTACTATATTTGACCCTTGTTCATTCTGCAGATGGGCTGCACCTCTCCAACAGAGTGGTTCAAAGAGGCCTATGTATACCAGGTTTGGAGTATTTTTGTTTTAATAATCAACTGAAGTCTTAATGAGTTGCCCAACATTTACTATTAGGGAACGAGTGATAAACAAACCACAGCCAAATACCAATGCTGAGTAACATTTATTCTTCCCCTAGGATGTGACAAGCACTATTTCAAGTGCCTAGTGATGCATTAATGACAAAAAATAGAACGAAAGACATCCTGCTTGCTATTGTGGAGGTGACATTCAAACATGAGGAAGAACAGTTAAACAATAAACATTAACAAATACTGTAGGTGATGCAAACTGTTTCTTTAAATCAGTGTCTTTAACATGCTGGTTGTGCTGCCTCCTCAGGTAAATGCTTTGCCTCTGAGGGTCACTTTAAGGACGACCCAGGCCACTGCCATCCCAGAAGCCACTCCTGATAATGAAAAACAAGGAATTTAAATTAATTTGCAGTGCTGCTGCTTCCAAGAACTCCTCCCTACAGTAACTAGCCAGCTGTAGCATATTTTTTAACTGACAACACACTTTCCTAAAGTGTCTTCATGGTCCCAAGTGAACTAGAGAGTATCTTGATTGGATTTACCAGATAAGTAAGTCATATTTAAAATACTGCTTAGGCTTACTAAGCTAAGTTTTTCAATTAAACAAGCTCCTTCAGTGCCCACAGAAGAAAAGATGAACAGAGAATGAAAATGTTTGTTATTATGACCTTTGCACGGGAGTGACAGAAACAGCTCTCCAAATAAAGCATGACTGTATGCTCTCCACCATGACTACGTTGACAAAGTCAAATCTTTGAGGTATGTATCCACAAGGAAGTTTCACAGAATCCAGGGTGAAAAAGATGGTATCATCGATCACCCCATTTCTTCCTTGTAGATTGGTGATACAGACCTATAAGCATAAATAATGATTATGCAATGAATAAATGATTATGAAAAAGCATAATAAAATGTGACAAGCTCTGCACCTCCTCACTCTGGCTCCAACCTGGTTATTACATCCAAATTAATGAATACCAACCTGGTGAGCACACTGGCAACACCAGGAGTGCTTTATAAGAATACCTATACCCAGACCCCCTCCTCAGACTAATTAGGTCAGATGCTCTGGGGATGTGGTCCAGGTCTCTGATGAGTAACTTTGCTATAAATATTACCCATAATTATCCATTACCTTCTATTTCACTTAATTTTCTTTTTTTTATTATAGTTGTGTACATTAATGCAATCACAGGGTACAGTATGGTGTTTTCATATACAATTTGAAATACTCTCATCAAACTGGTTAACGTAGCCTTCATGTATTTCACTTAATTTTCTATGTATTATGAGACGCAGATACGTAAATAAATAGCTAGTTTGTGGTGGTAAGCTCAAGCCCCACATTTTTCTAGCACTCAAATTGTTTTTCTTCTTATTGTTCTCAGGGCATTCTAATATCAAATCAAATACAAAATTTAGAATGTAATTATATGCTTCTTCTACATTATTTTCTACGTATTTCCTTTCAGAAGGCCTGCCTTTTCAATAAGCAATTAGGCTCCTTTGTGGCAAAGAATACATTTGTTTGTATTTTCTACATTCCCTAATACACTCAATAGAATCCCAGACACAAAAACTATCACTAAGGGAATGTTTGGCAGAAACTAATGACAAATGCTTCACAGAAACAAATTACCTCATCCACGTGCTTACAGCTCACGGGCTTTACCGAGAAAGGCTTAAGTTCCGAGGTACTGGGATCAACGGAACACTCAACTTCTAACCAGTCACCCTTGTAAGGCACAAAACCTAAAACCACCAGGGAGATATTTGAGTATGATTATCATTTAACTAGGTCATGTTCAATTTCACAAGTTACTTCAACATTGTGATTCCTTAATATAGCTTGTGCTGCATCTAAGGTACATTTTCAACATGTTTAAACAAATGCACTATAAATCTTTCTGTCAGAGAAGAAGTTTATCATCTGTTAAGCATTGATATTCCTCTACTGATTTTTTTTTTTTTTTTTTTTGGAGACAGAGCCTCAAGCTATCCCCCTGGGTAGAGTGCCGTGGCATTACAGCTCACAGCAACCTCCAACTCCTGGGCTCAAGCGAGTCTCCTGCCTCAGCCTCCCAAGTAGCTGGGACCACAGGCGCCCGCCACAACGCCCAGCTATTTTTTGGTTGCAGCCGTCATTGTTGTTTGGTGGGTCCGGGCTGGGGATTCGAACCTGCCACCTTAGGTGTACGTGGCTGGCGCCTTAGCCGGTTGAGCCATAGGCGCCGAGCTCCTCTACTGATTAACAAAGTCAAATGGGAAAAAGCGTCAACTACGTAGCGTGGCCGATCTAAGAAAACACCAACACAGGATTTATTAAATAATTGGTCATAATCACAACTCCTTAGGGTGGCAGTCAAGTGCATGTGTAAGAGTACAAGTTTGAACCCAGCTGCCTGCGTTTAAACCCTGACTCCGCCACTTGCTCATTCCACAGTCTTGGTCAAAGTGCTTGCCCTCTCTGTGACTTTGCTTCTTCACCTATAAAATGAGAAGCATAATAAGAGTCGTCATGATATAGAGTTGCCATGAGAATTAATTGATGTGTAAAACTCATAGAATAATGACTATCACAGAGTAACCACCACATAAATGTTGACTAGTATTAGTGATAGCAGTAGCACCAGAAATACTGCTATTCTAAGATGGAACCACTTTCTCTAGGTATTGTAGTCAGCAGATGGACTCTTAAATATATACCTTACATTTCATGGTTACAAACACAGAGTTTCAAAGAGAATTATATAATAAGGATCAAGTAAATCATAGGATAACAAAGTTACCTGAATGGATCTGGAGCAACTGGAAATCTCCAACACTCCAAGTGGGAATGTAAATTTGTATAACCACTCCAAACAACTGGCAGTATCAACAAAGTGAAACATTTCTATGCCCTAGGACCCAGCATTATAGAATGACACAAGACACAATGCTAGACCTCTTCTCTCTGTGTGTTCATGTCCATGCATTTCTTTGGTGTGGGTCTACAGCATATCTATGGGCTGATAACTCACAAATATACATACCTCCAGCTCTAACCAATGTCAGATTCAATTATCCACATATCTACACCAATTTAACATATATAAAGCTGGGTAACTGCTATTCTTCTCATTCATCACATAATGCTTATCTCAGTCACCTACATGTGAAATTGGTAACACCCCCTCTAGTACTGCTGCTCAAATCAAAAACATTGGAGTTATCTTTTCCCTTATCTTTCCTTCACACCAAAAGTCCAATATCTCAGCCACTACTTTCATCTTTTACTCCAAAATACATCAAGGGTATAAAATCAATCCTAAGGTCCTCCACTTCTAAAACTTAATTCAAATCTCCATCAACGCCCACCAGGAATATTACAACGTTCTCCCACCTAAGTTCCTGACTACACCCTTGGCCCACATAGTCTCTTCAAACAGAGTGAACATCTTAAAACAAAAATCATGTCAGAGTTCTGGTTTTACACTCAAGAAAATAAAAAAGCAAGCTGTGTGGTGGGGCTTAGCTTATCACCCCTTTTATAATTATAATCAAGCTATATGCCAGCTACAATAGATCAAAATAGCAAAAACAAAGTTTATCTATAGGTACAACTAAGTGTAGGAACGTATTTGCTGAATACAAATAAAATTCAGCAACAAACACACATAGAGAAAGGTACAAGGCTATCTCCCATCTTAATTTTGAAACATTAGGAGTATATAAAACATAATATCCCTCTATACATATAGAATCTTTTCATTGATTAAAAATCAAAAACTTACATGAACAAAAAACATGCCCAGACATTGCTGACTTCATTCAACAAATGAATTCATAATAAATGATAGACACTGTGGTAAGCATTACCCATCTGTCCCAATATTATATATCATTTTCAATTCTGAAAGCCCACCTCTAAAATTGACAAGTCACTGACTGGATCCAAGTACATGGTAAGAATAGTTCTAGTACTAAAATTCCCTCAAAAATTAAGAATTACATTTTTCTGAGAATGCAAATCATACCTTCAGAAACAATGTTAACAGAGAATTCAATGTTCTTATTAAGGTAAATAATATCTTTATTTATGGAGGTGACATAACCAATTACAACTCTGGTCTCTGGGTCTGATGATGCAACTCCACCATGATGATCCATTATAACATCCACCTGGAAGATGAAGAAATTGTTACTTCAAAAACAACACAAATCATAAAATGGGAATGTATATGATTAAGTCATTGGCATTCGAAAAGTATTTTAAACAACTATTATCACATTAGAAATAGAAATATAAATCATATGCCAAATGGATGGTAGAGATGAGATAATGGTAAAAATCATGCCTGTTTCCTATATTGTTAAAATGTATTTAAAACACTAACTGTGTACTGAAGTTTAATGCACTAGCAGTATTAGGTTCAAAGATGAAAAAAAAAAATACTGTTCTTGTCCTCTAGTAATAAACAATTAAATGAGAATAAATGAAAAAGATATCTAGTCATAATCAAGTTGTGATAAAGGGTATGTAAACGTTTCAAAAATGGTGTTTGCAAATCACAGGAGGGAGAAAATTTTAGACTTGGAGACAATAGGAAAGAGCAGGACCTGAAAGAAGTCAGACTTGAGGTGGGCTGTGAAATAAGAGGAAGATTTAACCAGGCAAGGGATGGAGGATGAGGGTTGGGGGATGAGGCAAGATCAGAAAGACAGAAAAGATAACACATGGTAGGGGAATAGAGAACAAAATCATAACATTGAAAATACAGGCCTGGGCTCGGCGCCTGTGGCTCAAGCGGCTAAGGCGCCAGCCACATACACTCAAGGTGGCGGGTTCAAATCCAGCCCAGGCCTGCCAAACAACAATGACGGCTGCAACCAAAAAATAGCCGGGTGTTGTGGCGGGGGCCTGTAGTCGAAGCTGAGGCAAGAGAATCACCTAAGAAGAGTTTGAGGTTGCTGTGAGCCGTGATAC